CCGCAGGGTGAGTCTCCGCCGGGAGGGGCCGCGATCGCGGGCCTGCGCCCCCTGATCAGGCTCCCGCCCGTTAGCCCCCTCTTCGCGGCGTTCGTGAATTGAGGGATATTCTGTTCCTTGGATTCGGGTGGGGGGAGCTAAGCGATCTGGGGTCGGCGCTTCTTGGAGAAAGCGGAGGCGGGGAGAGGGAGGCCGTCCGGGGCGGGGGTCTTGGGGAGACACAATGGGTAGGGCGAGGGTCCCCAGGCTCGGCGCCGCCGCCCCCTCCCTATTTGTTTTTCTCCCTCCTAGTCGGCGAGGCGCTGCTGCCTGAGCCATTGTCTACTGAAGACACCCGCCCAGGGGCGGGCTGGGGCGGGCGCCCACTCCGCAGCCCCCTGCGGGTTCCTCGCTCCCGACCCCGGCTGGGTGGGGGCGCCGGCATCGGCTGCCACCCTAGGCCCGGACAGGAGGCTGGGCGCCTGGAGCTGGGTTTGAAGGGGGGAGGGGAGAAGGGGGAGTGGGTGAGGCTGTGGGCGGGATTGACTGCTCTAATGGGGTTCTTCGCCCTGGAGCCTGACAGCTCCCAGCCAGCTCCCCTGGTTTAGAATTTGGGGTGCACCAAATAAATGCTTGTGAGCCTATGACGGAGGACGAGCGGCAGTTGTGGGGCTCTGAGAAAAGAGGGTACATTGTGATTCCAACTGAAGGCGCATGGCAGGCTTGCGGTCGCGGAGCCATGCTGAGCTGGCTGGCTGTGGGCAGTGCCGGCTGGGAGGGCAGGTGCCTGGGTCCCCGTTCAGCAGGCCTCCTGGCACTGCTGTCCCCTGCCCGCCCCCAGATCACCCCCTCCTCATCTCCCATCTCCTTCGCAGTGGAGGAGACCCTCCCCAGCGACTCACCGGGCGCAGGTGGGTGTGTGAGGTGGGGGTGGGGCCGGCTTCCGCAGCAGGAAAGGGTGGGGGAGCAAGACCCTGACTCCACACTCCACAGGCAGGCCTGGATGCTTATGGGCCTCCCCCCACTCCAGCCCTGAGCCCACCTCCCGTGCTCCTGCTCTCTGCCCCCTGCCTGTGGGCCCCATCCCTGCCTGAAGCAGTGTTCACTCCTCACCCCCCCTACTAAGGAGCTGGCAGGAAAAGCAGGGTGGGGGGGTCTGGATGAGGGAAGTGGGGTCCGGATGAAGGGAGAGGGTCGGATTTCCTCCTGGATTGAGGCAGGCCTGGAGCCGGGAGAGGTGGATGCTATATGGTATGTCAGGCTTTGAGGATTGGGGAGGGTTCGCCCTCTGCCTCAGTCTCCCCAGCTCTCTGGGGGAGGAGATGAGGCTTTGCTTAGTAGGAAGAAGCCCTAGTTTCTTAGGACGTCCCTCCCCTCAAGTCCCTGCACCTCAGGGGAAGGGGCCCAGGGAATTGGCTGGAATAGAGCCAGGATAGGGGGGTTCTCTGGGGCAGCTGGCGGGGAGCCCAGGTTGAGGGGAAGGGGGAAGGGAATCTGCTAGGCACCTACCCCCTTCTCCCCCACCCCCAAGGTTGGCACAGAGCCTTACCAGCCCACCCCAGTTTTGTTTCCCCAGCTCCCTCCCTATTCTGAAGCTCTGACTCTTGAACCCAAGCCATTCCCTCAAATGACCCCAAGTATCTCAGACTCGGGGTCCCTCTCCCCAGCTGCTCTATCCAGCTGTTCCTAAGCCTGGGATGGGGGTGGAAGTAGCCAGGCCCTTCTGGCTTCTCAGAATTCCTAATGGGTGTTGGTGGGGGGATGGATGAGGACCTTGTGCACATCCTCCTAGGCTCTCCCCTCCCCCCACCCCAAGCCAATTCTTCTTTCTCCCAACCTGGGTGTATAGACCTCCACTCTCCCGTATTAGCTGGGTGCCCTTGGGTATGTCACTTAACCTCTCTGAGCCATAATTTGTTCATTTGTAAGACATGGAAGGATAGTGCCTACATCATCAAATTGAAGTAAGAAATCTCATCAAATGTGCAAAAAAACAGTACAGGGGTGCCAGCTTCCTGTAGCAGCAGAGATCGAGAGTGGGTGGAGTGTGCACCCACCCTGCAGGGTTGGGCTCTGGCCTGGGAGGGGAGGTGGGCTCAGGGGAACAGCTGGATGGGATGCCTAGGGCAGGCGTGGCACTGGCTGAGGTTGGGAGCCTGAGCTAAGACACCTGTCACTGCTGAGTGTCAGGCTGCACTCTAAGGCCTTCCCTCTCCTCGAAGTCTCCGCAGCACCCTGACCTCCCCAGGCCCTGCTGCTCTCAGCTCTAGACTCTTCCTTCCGTACCCAACCCCCACTAGATTTGCATCCAGCACTCAGCCCACTCCCCACCTGCCTCCTGGGCCCCCCACTGAGGTGTCCATACATGCATGACACACCTTGTTAGCAGGAAGGTAGGGGTGAGGTGTGTTCTTGAGGGAGGGGCTGTGCTGATGGGAAGGGGTGCCCGGGATCAGAGAGACTGCCTGGAGAATCCATGGGAACAACTCAAGGCTTGGTTCCTCCCCATCACGCCATCTGAGGGCAGGACACCTGCCTGATGGCCTGGCCAGACTCTCCTTAGGCTGGGGGCAGAGGCATCCCTGGAAAGCAAAACACTTGGGCTTCCCTCCCCAGCCCCCTCCACAATAGTTCTCTTGGGCCTGGGTTGCACCCCCCCAGATCTCCTTCCCCTTGCCAGGGCCCCAGCTCCCTGCCTGATCTCCTGGGAGGAATGAGGGCGTTGCCATGGTGACTGACTGTAGCTGACCAGCTGGGAGGGGGCAGGCGGTTCATGTGAGGGGGAGGGGGCAGAAGTAATTTGTCTGGGCATAGGGTTGGGGTGAGTCCCTAAATCTGAAGGGAAACAGGCTTGTGCAAAGGATTCTGGGAAAAGGATGAATGACGGGAATGACCAGTTTCCTAGTGTCCCCTGTCAATTTTTTCCCAAGACCCCTAACTCTGCCCTAGCCTCCATCCTCCCTTTCAAACTGCTGAATCTTGACCCTTCTCTCTGCCTGCATACCCAGCTTTACTTAGCCTTTCTCAGCCCTCCTGTCCTCCTCTCCCCAGGCCCGGGATTAAGAATGTTGCTTCTAGAGGCAGACTGCCAGGTCTGGATCCCAGATCTCCACTTAGCTGTAGTCCAAGTATCTAAACTCTCTAAGCCTCAGTTTCCTTATCTGTAAAATGGACTAAGAGCATATATTATCAAATCCAGTACACCACTGACTGTAAGATGCACCATGATTTCAGGTACCAGTAAGAAAGGAAGAAATGCTGCCAGTTATAACGATGGCATCATCAATCATAGACATAGCCTGAGTTTAGAATTGTGAAAATGTGACACAGTGCATGTGTCAGACAATGAAATACGGGAATAGTCCCACCTCCTTTATGGGCTGATAGGAGGTTTCTCACTGAATGCTGGGTCTTAAATCATGCCTTCTCTAGCCTCAGCCCCAAAGACTCTCCCAAACACAGCTCCTTCCTCTGATATTGGGGCTCCCCCCAGTTCTCTTTCCCCCTCCCTCATCCTCACTTCCTTCACCCCATCTTGCCCACAGAGATCCTGATCAAGGTGCAGGTGTATGTGAGCGGAGAGCTGGTGCCCCTGGCCCGGGCCTCAGTGGATGTGTTTGGGAACCGGACTTTGCTGGCAGCTGGTACCACAGACTCAGAGGGTGTGGCCACCCTGCCCCTCAGTTATCGCTTGGGCACCTGGGTGCTGGTCACTGCTGCCCGCCCTGGCTTCCTCACCAACTCTGTGCCCTGGCGTGTTGACAAGCTGCCCTGTGAGTGCAGGGGCAGGTGGAGTGGGGGGGGACAGCAGCTGACCCTCCATCAGCCCCTTCCCAAAATAGTCTCCTTGGGGGTGGAGGGGGAGGCTTTCCAGCAGCTGCTGCCTGGGCTGGGGTACACAGAGGGGGCTGAGGGAGGGTGAAGCCTCTGGGACTCAGATGGAGGGGGTGCCTGGCTGGGGGGTGGGGGGCAGGCTTTCCTGGAGCTGACCGGCCATCCCTCCCACAGTGTATGCGTCTGTCAGTCTCTACCTGCTCCCTGAGCGGCCGGCCACGCTCATCCTCTATGAGGACCTGGTGCACATTCTCCTAGGCTCTCCCGGTAAGGCTCTCCCCCTCACCCACGCCAACTCTTCTTCCTTCCCCTAACCTGGGTGTAGAGACCTCCACTGTCCTATATTAGCTGGGTGTCCTTGGGCAAGTCACTTCACCTCTCTGAGCCATAATTTGCTCATTTGTAAGATGTGAAAGGTTAGTGCCTACATCATCAAATTGGAGTAAGAATTAAATCTCATAAAAAGTGAAAAAACACAGTACAGAAGGTGTTCAATAAATGTTTATAGTTATCGGGGATTCTCGTGGTTTCTGTTCTCCATCTATTCCTACCTTCCCTGCCACCTTTATCTTCAATGGGCCTACACGGATTTGTTGTGCACCTGCTGGATGCACAGGTGCACAGGAAGTGCAAGGCCCAGAGAAAGCCTGCAGCTGTCCTGATCTACCCCCGGCTTTTGGTCTCGCTCAGCTAGTACTTACTTCAACTCCTAGGCCGTGCCAGGCATTGTGGCTGGTGCTGGGAACCACAGTGAGGAAGAAGACCTGCTCCTTGCCTTTGGATGTTCACAGACAAGTAGGAAGACAGATCATTGCAAGCCCTGAAATAGTTCCAGAGCAGGCAGGGCAGTGGAGTGGAGGGCAGCTGCTTTCAGTGCTGAGACGGCCCTAACCTGCGAGGGGACCCGGCTGGGTGAGAGCTTGTCGAACGGAGCGGTCAGCCCTCGACTCAGGAGTGAAAGGGAAGCAGAGGCACCTCCACTGGAGAGGAAGGCCGGGGGAGACATCAGGTGGAGGGTAGTAGAGGACAGTGAGGGTTTGGGGGCTCCGTTCCGCTTAGAGGGCCATGGTGGGTTTCAGAGTTCGAGGAGCCCCTTCCCGGTTTGTAGTCTCAGCCTGAGCCCTTGTCACGGAGCTAGATTTTTCTTTTTTTTTTTTTTTTGAGACAGAGTGTTGCTCTGTTGCCCAAACTGAAGTGGCATAACCTCGGGATTCTTCTGCCTTAGTCTCCTGAGTAGCTAGGATTACAGGCACCCGTCACCACGCCAGACTAATTTTTGTATTTTCAGTAGAGACAGTTTTGCCATGTTGGCCAGGCTGGTCTCGAACTCCTGACCTCAGGTGATCCACCCGCCTCAGCCTCTCAACGTGCGGGGATTACAGGCATGAGCCACTTCACCCGGCCTCACCAAGCTGCTCTTGTTTGCTCACCTTCGTCACTCTGATCCCAAACCAGAGGCTTCTAAGTGCCCCTGCAGGTTTCTAAAATGCCAGTGGACCCTTTGTAGCCCTCTAGCTTGAAGCCCCTGCATGGTACCTACTGCTTTCAGTACCAAGCCCAGGTGCCATCTCAGAGCTGACAGCGCCTTCCAGAGCCCGGGCCGCCCCCTGCCCCTCACCTCTGGGCCTTTCTCATGCCAGGCCTCCTGGATGTCCTTTCCCTCTTTCTTTCCTGGCTGAGTCTTCCACATCCTGCAAGACTCCACAGGGCCTGCCCTGAGCTGAGTGAGACCAGCTCCCCTAGTTCCCTGCATCCCTCTATTTGGATACCAAGGCAGGAGGAATGGCACGGGAGAGGATGGGCCTGCAGCCCAGTGGTCTGGGCTTCTATCCAGGCTTGAGGATTGTGACCTTGGGCAAGTTACTGAACCCCTGCCTGCCTCCATTTTTGCACCTCTAAAATGAGGCTGATAATAAAGACACCTAGCTGAGGGGCTATTTTCCTAATTGCAGGGGTTAATACAGGTAACCTGCTTAGAACAGTGCGCAGCATAGCTTAAAGCTTAATAAATGTTAGCTGTGACCATACTGTATTGGAATTGTTTATATGTCTGTCCCCTCCACCCCAACACACACACGCACACACACGACCTAAACTGTCTGATGCAGTAGCCACTAGCTACATATTAAATTGAAGTAAATTAAATCAAAAATTAATTAATTTGGCCGGGCGTGGTGGCTCACGCCTGTAATCCCAGCACTTTGGGAGGTCGAGACGGGGGATCACGAGGTCAGGAGATCGAGACCATCCTGACTAACACAGTGAAACCCCATCTCACCTAAAAATACAAAAAAAAAAAAAAATTAGCCAGGCGTGGTGGAGGGCGCCTGTAGTCCCAGCTACTGGGGAGGCTGAGGCAGGAGAATGGTGTGAACCTGGGAGGTGGAGCTTGCAGTGAGCCAAGATTGAGCCACTGCACTCCAGCCTGGGCGACAGTCTCAAAACTCTGTCTCACAAACAAAAAAGAGACTTAGGGGTGTCTAGGGGGCCTTCCCTGCCCCAGCACTGCCTAGGTGTTTTGCCGGGAGAAGGGGGTCATCGAGCAGGGAGTTCTTACACTTTTCTGAGACTTTCATGACCGTACCCCTTGAGAGTGTTGTAAGCAATAGCCACTCCCAA